TAAATGATTAGGAACTTATTGATATAAATGACATATATAGCAAATCCCAGCAATTAGCTGTAATAAATTATGTCGACCCTTCTTTTTCATATTCTCTTTTTATTATAAATTTCCAAAAAAATTAAGCAACAATTAAACCAAAATAAAAATAATGCAAATCTTTCATTGATCTGAAAGTCTTTATTGTAAATTTGCAGCCTATATACATAAATAAAATTGTTAAACCGACCTATGAATATTTATGCTTAAATATTATACAGTATATCAGCTTTAATTTCATAAAATTTGAATTTATCTTTTGACTCTACAAATTGCATTTGCACAATTTTTAATTAGAGTGAATTGAAATGAAAGAAATCTAACAAAGGTTCTACAGTTATAATATTGTTTGATTCAAAATATATAAGTAAATTAATTGGAAACACTATGTTAATAAATTTTAGATAAGATTATTATTAAAACATTTCAATAATGCCTTTAAATGAATTACCAAGCAGTAACAAGAGAATACCCAAACCACCAACAGATTTCATAATATTTGTTCCAATATTTTTAAGACTTGATCAGATTTTTTTTTTTTATCATCTACGTATTTAGGAAGATTTAATTTAACCCTTTTATAATGATTAATCAAAGGTGGTTCGTTTTCATTAAATATTAAATTGAATTGAATCTATTCTGAAAATGAATTATTTTTCATAATTTTATCTTCTTGGTCAAAATATTTTTTAATGAAGCTTAAAATTTAGGATACTTCGCATAAGTACATTAAGTATATGAATATAAGTAGTTCCTGCAAATATAATTAAACTCTATTGTGCATTATTAAGAGTAACCATCCCCATCTTATTTATTCATATCATCACATTCTTCTTCTATTGAGACTAAACCATCACCACAGAATGCTACACATTGATTTTGATTTGAATTTAATTCATATCCTTATTCGCATTCTTTACATTTTCCTTCCGCACATATTTTACAATGATCTGGACAATAAGAAAAACAATTAAAACATCCATCACTTTTATCATCATTTAAATCATCACAATCTTCTCCTTCCATGGTAATTCCATCTCCACAAATAGGATTACATATATTATTATCTACTGCATAATATCCATATTCACATTAATCATAACATATTCCTTTAATACATAATTTACAGAATTATCTACATTAATAATTGCAATAATAGCAACCATCATAAGGTGTGTCATTCATATCATCACATTCTTTATAACCAATGGTAATTAATCCATCTCCACAAATAGGAAGGCACAGCTAATCAATCAATGTAAATGTTTATTAGCAATCATAACAAATTCCATAGATACAAGCTGTACAATAACGACAACATTCAAATTTACATTTGTAACATCCATCTAATTATAAATTATTAGAATCATCACATTCTTCATATGAGATTAAAGTAACTTAAGAATCGCCACATTCAGATTCACATTAAAAATAATCATTTAAATGCCAACCATAAATACAATCCAAACATATTCCTTTTTAACAATAGGAACATTCTCTTTAACAATTATTTATAAATTTATGACAACCATCAAATCTATTTTACTTCATATCATCACATTCTTCTATTCCTGATATTTGATTGTCACCACATTCAGATTCAAATTCACATTATTAATTCTTTAATTTCCATCCTGATTTACAATCATAACAAATTCCAAATTAACAATCTATACATTCATGTTAACAATGAAAATAACATTAATTACATCCAAAAGAATTTTATATTTATTCACTAATATCACATTCTTCATGTCCTTCAACAATAAGATCTCCACATATAGGAGTACAATTAACTGTTTATTTTATCTTGTTTCCATCCACCTTAACATTATTTACAAATTCTATTATATTATATTTTACAACCTTCTTCTAAATCATAAGTACATTAATGACATCCATCAAATGCATATAAATCATTATCTACACATTATTTCTCATGTACAATTGATAAGTTTTAGCACACAGATTCGCATTTGTTATTGATTAATTCATAATTTAATTCACATTACTGACAAATACCAAATTAATAGGATAAGCAATTTGATGGAACAATGAATTTGCCATTTTTGCAAATTTCAAAATCTAAAAGATCATCAAATTCTTCCCAGATTGAATATTTCTCATCATCAACAATAAAATTACATGAATTAATTTTAGAATCAAAGAACCATCTATTATGACATTCAAAGCAAATTCCTTTAATACAATTTGAGCATCCTTCTAAACAAGAATATTAACAATTAAAACATCCATCAAAAGAATATATATTACCATCATGACATTCTTCATTTTACTCTAGAATTCCATTTCCACAAATCAATCCGCATGCTTGATTAAAAGAAGAACCAAAAAGACAATCTAAAATACGAACAAATATATTTACCTATAAATATTTGTATGTCTCTAATTCCAATTTTACATATCTTAATTTAAATTAGTATTAAATAGTAATGTTATTGATGATTCTGTATGGGCAATTGTAAATTGATCATTAAATGGTATATCATCATAAATGTCACCGCATATATTCGATATTTTTCTATTATTGTAATTAAATGTTTTTGTCCATCTCAATGTATTATCAACTGATAAATATGCTTGTTTAGAATTCCATTTATCTAAGATCATAAATCTGAATTAAATCTTAACTTAACTATGAGTTGGTAAATTTATTGTTTTGAATAAGTAACTACTTTCTCCAGTGTATTTAAAACCTCCAAGTAATGGAATAGCTTTAGTTTGTATTAATATAATTACATAAACAGTTACTAGTAGATTTATATCCTCTATCTATTGTCCATCCATCAAAGTTAAAGCTATCAAAATCAATATTGTTTAGACTATTTTCAATAAGATTCCAAAATATGCAATCTTCTCTGGAGTCTGATGAAATGCAGGTTAAGCATCCAGAAGGGCATGGAAATATATATAATTTAAAATTACGGATTCCCCATAATTCCTAAATTTATATCATTATATATTGAGTACATTTGTCGGACCTTAATCTAAATTAGATATCGTTAAAATAAAGAGAGATTAAAAGTTATGGGGTTATGTAATGCTTATCTAAACTGTAATATCCCCATATGACCATCCGCATAATTAATTAGCTTCATAGAAACCTAAGATTTAATCTAAATAAATGAAAAAACTTTCTCCATTCCAGGTGTCTAGTCTAAAATTGTTTAAAGTAATTCTTACTTCCAAAATTCCAGTGTAAGCTATACTGTATGATGAGGTGGTAATTAAAATAACTTAGTAGCTGATGTACCTTTAGCAAAGGCATTATATGCCCCAAAAAGCCGTACAGAACCACAATCACTATAGATTTAATTCTCTCCCCTTATTATCCATTCTTCGATTAATGAATACAATACATTCTGAAGTTGTAAATGAATTGCTTGTAAAACTTTCAGAGTATAAGACTTATGAATAAGCACTTATTGCCAGAATAAATAATCTATGAAGCATGATGATGATATAAATAATAAAATTCAATTATAACTTAATATAAAATTTCTGGGAAATTTATTAGATTTTCGATTGCCTTTAAAGGCTAAATAAATATTTAATTAGGTTTGCCTATATCAAACTTATGGATACCTAGTATATTATTTAATATTGGCCTTTGTAAAGGCATTTTTTGTAATTTTGAATAAAATATTCTATATTAATTATTATATTGAATAATGTCATAGTAAATAAATACGTCATATGACTTTATTAAAATTATTCATTTTTTAGTATATTCAAATAGATTCTTAACCGTCCTCAATAAAGGATGTGAATTGTGTTTATTAATAATTCATTTATTTTGATCAATGTATAAATTGATTTAAGTAAAAGAGAACTATTTTTCTTCTTTTTAATTTTGTTTCAAACTTTAGAGTCGATAATGGAGCTTAATTTATGGGATTAATGAACAATTTTTCAATTAAGCTACAATAATTATTATCTAGTTCTA